TAGGCTCAGCAGTTAACACAACTTTATTATATATCCTCCTGAGAGGAACTCAGTACACTAACTCCTAAGATGTTTCCTTACTATAATTAATTAATATATTGAAATCACAACACTGGTAATTACAAACTTAACCATTTATCTTTCTATAAATAGTGCTTGTGTTGATGGATGCCATTTTGAAATACAATGAAATTATCTTTTTCAAAGCCACATATTTGGGGTGGGACACAATAAATAAAGCTTCGCCAGTTTATAACCGATGAAACATGATGGTATCAGAATAATCACTTACATGAGATGTATAGGATGCTACACAGGTCACTGTAAAGATAACATGTCAGAGAAGAAATAAGCAAGATACATGATCTGTTTAATCGCCATGTAGGTTCTCTTTTATTTATCAGCATCAGATCAATAAGTGTCAGTAGTATCAAAACAATATCATAACAGTGGCAATATATAACAATAATAGGTAGGCTCAGCAGCAGACACACCTTAGTGCAACGTTATGTGTCAGTATTAATAACAGTGGTGTATATATATATACCGGCGCGCCATCACCATGAGCAACTGGTCCTGCGATTCCTGGGCCTTGTGTGAATGCAGCAGCAGTTCGTCGTGCATCTCCTTGCTGCCCATGGCATGCCGGTTCTCATTGTCCTTGCTGCCCATGGCACGCCAGTCATCCATCACCATGATAGTGTCAAGGAAGCTGTCATCCCGTGCCCGCTTTCCTAAGAGGAGATATAAGCAAGATACAAGATCAGTTTAATCGCCAAGTAGTTTTACAACATACTAGGAATGTGTTTACCAGTAGGTTGTCAACAGAGACAACATTGGACATGGTAGGCAGGGACAGTGTACACAATGCAGGTGTAAAGTATAAGATAGGATCAAATAGCTGACGCTCAAAGTGCCCTTATTTATTGTTTTTTGTTTGATGTATGCTTGAACTTTGTTTTATTTGGTCAAAAAATTATTAAGAGTTTTCTTACCAGAAGTCATGTGACCTCTAGCCTCGGATGTTTACGTTTGGGAGAGAGTGAAAAGGGCGCAAAAAGTGTAAACGATGTATGATCACGGTGTTTCATAATTGTACCAAGAAAGAAATAAACGTGATTAGTGGACATCAGTTCGATGCGTAACAGAGTAGTTACAGTGTGTTTATATGTACCTTTGCGTTTGGTTGGAAAGGGAGATGATTTCCGGAGGGGAAAGCTCACTAGATTCCAATCCAATGGGAAACACCTCGTCGCCTGAAACACACGATTAGTGCCATGAGTTAGTGAAGCAAATTACAGAACACTGCACACTTATTCACAAGTCAAGACGTTTTCATAGCGGCCGAGAATAGCTAGCGAGCTAGCTAGATGTTATTAGCTAGCTCGGTTCCGGCCTGCTAACAGTGTTACCCAATTCAGACTAGCATTGCTAACTCGATCTACCGAGCAAATAAAAGTACATCTGAGATAGGGGTGTAACAGTTCACAGCATTCACGGTTCGGTATGTACCTCGGTTTCGGGGTCACGGTTCGGTACATCAAGAAAAAGCAAAAAAAAATCCCAAATGCATAATTCCATGTTTGTTGTTATTTATTTGGAATAGTAGTGCAAGTTTAAAAAATAAGGAACTCTAACATTTTGAATAATTAACTGTATTACACTGTTAAAAACAAACAGTCCCACACACGCTCAGATGCCCAGATTACCTATAATGGCTGATGTCAAACAAAAAGGTTCAATAAACTGTAAAACTAAAAAGAATGTCTTGAAAATATTACAAAATAAATAATAAGATAGTGTTTCAATCACTTTCAATCACAATCAATAAAAGCTGGGGTCAGTTGAAAATCATATGCCAAAAGCTTCCGTTATTTATTTTGGTCTCTCGGCTTTCATGTGTATTGGCTTCTTATAAACAGCGGGGATCAGCTGTTGAACTGCTGCTGTATTTTGCCGGGCTCCGGTGATTTCCAAATCTGGGTGATGCCTTCTGATATGATTTAGCATGTTTGGCGTGTGTTACCATTAGCATACCGCACCGCTATCGAACACAACAGCCACACCGTCCTCGTCCGATCCACCACCCGAAATGTTCCCACACAGCTGATTTAAAAGAAGCAGGTGGTTGTTCTAGCTCCTGTGTTATCTGAACTCGCTATACTAACACGTTTTGTTCGTTTTGTTGTGTTTTCTTCTTCTTCATTTGTTGTTTAAGGGCAGCTGGCAAACAGCTTTTAGGCGCAATACCGCCCCCTGGATTATATATAGTGTAGTGGATACTGCCCTGAATGACAGAATTTTTTACCACTCGTAAAAAAAAAAGGCGTATTCGTCGTGTGATTGCATGCACCGAACCGTGACGTCTGAACCGTCGAATACGTTTATCGTTACACCCCTAATCTGAGACCAGTATTGTGCAGATTAAAACGGTAAAGTGCATGAAGTATATTTTACCTTCGATTAGTGCCATGAGTTAGTGAAGCAAATTACAGAACATTGCACACGTATTCACAAGTCAAAACGTTTTCATAGCGGCCGAGAATAGCTAGCTAGCTGTTAGCCAATTCAGCCTAGCATGGCTAGCTCGATCTACCGAGCAAATAAAAGTACATATCTGACCAGTATTGTGCAGATTAAAACAGTGCAGTGCATTTAGTATATTTTACCTAATTCGTCGTCGTCGTTGGGCAATTCAACCGTCATTTCAGCCTCCTACCTCATCGCGCTGCCTTCAGTAGAAGCTTCTGGATCGCGTCCTCCGAGTAAATCTCCAGATGCGCCGACACATCATCATCACTCCACCGCTCCATAGCTGCTTTCACAAAAGTAATCTCTTCGTTGGTGCGCTGCGCTGAGCTTTTAATGCGAGCAAATGAAATGGCGGCTTCACAAAACCTTTTGGGAGTTTTACGGGGCGTGGTTTGCATTCCGTCCAGCCAATCAGACATATGAACCTTTTTCTCCCACGAAAGTCCCTGGTCTCTAGCAGGGACTGAAAAGCAGGTAAAAATGGTTCTGATGAACTAATTTAGTTCTGGGGGCTTTTTGTTGTGAACGCAAATATATCGTAGTTCTGATGAACTATTGTGGGAAAAGTACTCCGGTGTGAACGCGCCAACTGCTGCTTGCAGATGTTGTGGTTTCTCCCCCGCCTGCGGGGAATGGGGCTTAACAGGTTAATAATATACACACAAATACCGCCTCCTCTGGTCTTCCCCGAGTTCGCATCGCTGTCTGCTCGAACAAGGTTGAATCCGGGTACCTCAAAGAGAGATTCAGGCATTGTAGATTGTAGCCAACTTTCCGTGAAACATAATAAAGAGGCCTCACGAAATTCAGGACAGTTCCTTGTGTATGTCCTTAGTGTGTCCACTTTGTTAATCAATGAGCGCAGGTTTGTGAGAATGATGGATGAAAGTGGTGGCCGGCTGAATCTTTGCCGTAGGCGATTCTGAACACCTCGTCTCCTTCCTCGTCTCTTTTTCCTGGTGTTGCTAAGCGGCTCCCGAGGGAGGTCATCCAATATTGAAGAGCACAGATGGCTTCATGTATTCGTATGATGCCGATCGCATTGTAGCTCCAGCATTGCCTCACGGCTGTTGCAGCGTAGGGGCCGGGACTCCTCGCCATACCTGCTCGTGCTGTCACTCAGGTGTGTCTTGGAAAGTTGTATGGCCAGACATGGTCTGCTAAAAGGAAAATATAATCGACAGGATCAAAAGCATGGTCTCTCAAAATTACGTTTCATACAGAGACAACAAAGTTTAGACAATAATTAGACCAAAAACACAAAACACAAGACTAACGGAGCATACTGAGACGCGCAGTGACAGGATGCCATCTCCCTCTGTCTCCTGTATATACCAGAGGTGGGAGTAAGTCATACATGTGCAAGTCTCAAGTTACTGGGGTGAGAGTCAAGCAAGTCAAGTCATACGAAATCCTGATGAATAACCCCAGTTTCCGCATTTAAATCAGTTAAAAGACGGTGGTTATGAAAAGTAGAGTTTTATTTTCAACATTAGCAACAATGGAGAGTGGGGCTCTGAAATCATAAAACAGGTAATATGGGGAATAATCAGGCAGTACAATATGTGTGTGTAGAGGTGTGTGTTGTTAAAACGTAGCAGCCTGCAATCGCTATTTATCTGTTCTAGTGAAGGTAAACACAGTGAAGTAAAATGCATAGCTCTTTGCAGCTGGTGCTGCTCTTCTCAGATTCTGCTGAGTTACACGTTACTGCCTCCTGGTGCTGCAGAGATTTCATGAAGTGAAGGTTTTCCTTATATAAAACAGCTGTGGGCAGCAGATACTGTGTGAGTCACGGACATGAATTCATAGATCAAGGCAGACTGGTTCACAGACTCTCCTGTTTTGCCGATCCGGTGCTTAAACAAATAGCTCTCCTGGCCGAAATGTCCCTAAAATTAAGTCCGACATCGAAATATATCTCATATAATGTATGCACTGCCATTTCCCCACATAAACATAACAATCTGTAATGAAACGTCTGTCTCCTATGCACTCCACTTCCTACTTGGCGCACTGGTAACTTTCTCCTGCAAACAAGTTACTTTCTCTCACTCTTTGTTTTCATTGCCCTTTAGGGGCTTCCTACAATACAAATGCAAATATTTTATTTTAGAAAGTAAAGTCCTTTCGAGTCATCTGTCTCAAGCCTAAGTCAAGTCTCAAGTCATGGATACCAAGTCAAAGTCAAGTCGAGGATGTTATCAATGTTAGTCAAGCAAGTCCCAAAGCACGAAAATATGCGAGTCAAGTCATGTGACTCGAATCCCCCACCTCTGGTATTTACTGTGGTTAGAATGTTGCTGTTACTGTATCTAATATAATACAAATGTAATAAACACAAACCGTTAGTAAAACTAGTATTTTGTTAACTCAAGGTTTATATTAAGTGAGTTTTTATTGTGTTAACTGCCTGTATTTATGCTTTTTAGATTTACTTTCTCTCTTTCTTTGTCCGTCTGTTCTAGAAACTGAAAGGAAGGGAAAGACGTCACGGCTGTCAGCAATGTGAAAAATACTTTACAACATCTGCACATTTAAAGTGCCACCTGCATATTCATACAGGAGAACAACCGTACAGCTATGACGAGTGTGGGAAAACATTCAGGGAATCAGGTAATCGAAAAAAACATAAACGTATTCACACTGGAGAAAAGCCGTACAGCTGTGAAGAGTGTGGGAAAAATTTCACTGCATCAGGTGATCTCCAAAAACATGAACGTATTCATACAGGAGAAAAACCGTACAGCTGTGAGTTGTGTGGGAAGACATTCAGGGAATCGGGTAATCTAAAAAAACATAAACGTATTCACACTGGAGAAAAACCGTACAGCTGTGAAGACTGTGGGACAACGTTCAAGACATCAACTGAACTCAAATCACATCAACGTATTCACACTGGAGAAAGACCGTACAGCTGTGAAGAGTGTGGGAAGACATTCACGGAATCGGGTAATCTAAAAAAACATCAACGTATTCACACTGGAGAAAAACCGTACAGTTGTGAAGAGTGTGGGAAGACATTCACGGAATCGGGTAATCTAAAAAAACATCAATTTATTCACACCGGAGAAAAACCGTACAGCTGTGAAGAGTGTGGGACAACATTCACTCAATCAGGTGATCTCCGAAAACATCAACGTATTCATACTGGAGAAAAACCGTACAGCTGTGAAGAGTGTGGGAAAACATTCAGGGTATCAAGTGCTCTCCAAAATCATCAACGTATTCACACTGGAGAAAAACCGTACTGGTGTGAAGAGTGTGGGAAAATGTTCACTCAATCAGGTGCTCTCCAAAAACATCAACGTATTCACACAGGAGAAAAACCGTACTGGTGTGAAGAGTGTGGGAAAACGTTCACTACATCAAGTGATCTCCAAAAACATCAACGTATTCATACTGGAGAAAAACCGTACTGCTGTGAAGAGTGTGGGAAAACGTTCACGACATCAAGTAATCTCCAAAAACATCAACGTATTCATACTGGAGAAAAACCGTACTGGTGTGAAGGGTGTGGGAAAACGTTTTCTCAAAGTTCTCACCTTAAGCTCCACGAGCGAATCCACACCTTATAGTTTTGAACAACTATGAGAGCCAAGCTAGCTGTTTCCTCCTGCTGATGTCCTGAGAGCTGTATTTTTATATTTGAAGAGTCTTTCTGAATTGAAGTCTCGTTTGATGTCCCTGGACAAGCCCTGAGGTCCTCTTCAGTTTTTTAAATGTCCCTAAAATCCCCCAAAATAAAATGGGTGAGGCTTTTATCCACTACGCTCCCAAACTGTGGAACACCAGGAAATATCAGAGAGGCTCAGTGGACATTTTTAAACGCCTTCTAAAGACCCATCTCTTTAGATTAGCTTTTTATTAGCAACCCCCCACTTTAAATGGTCTTTTAGTCTTTATTATTTACCTACTTTTATATTGTTTCATTTATGATATAGGAAGGGTTTTATCTTATATTAGTTATTTAACAGTTTCAATAGTAACATTAATTTTTACGTTGGTTTCTTTATATTTTGATCGTTTAACCTTTATTAGAGTTATGTCGTTTCTATTACTATTCATTTGTATTTCTGTTGTACCTATATGTTCACTTTATTTTATAGGGTTTTATATTGTTGCATCTATTCACTTGTCTTGTGTCTTATCTTTCCGAGAGAAATCATAATTTAGTTTTCATAATCCTTCTCCTCTGGACGTGATGTGTGCAGCATGTGTAGTGTGTTGTCTCTGTGTGAGACCTGTTAGTTTCACTTGTTCATTGTTAGATGTGCTTCAGTTTCTTTGTGCATTGAGTACTTCAGTCACTTTCTTTTAGGAGAAAGTTGTTCTCAGTTCATCTTAAGTTTGTTTTGTATATTTGCTGGTGAGCCTTCTTCGTTTTCAAAAAAATAAACTATCTACTAATTTTGCCAAATCAGTTTCCTCTCTCCCGGTTATTTTTATATTTTGTTACTTCCCTTTGTACCCCTAGTTTAGGAGGGAACGTAACACTGTATTTAATTTGTTATTATCATACCTTTTACCTCCTTGTGTATCTTAACCTGTTAAAATGTTATATTTAGCACCATGTATCTGTAAAGGTCTTGACATCTGAGGGGACTTTCTTGTCGTTTATTGAACTATGAAGAAATGTTTTACTATGCCGTGTTTCAACCATGGTTTTCTTATAGCCTTGTTATAAAATATTATATATCCAGGGTTAAACTGCTAATCTCGTTAAGCTTTAATAATTACATTATTGTTAATAATAATAATATATAAACATGGGACTGGTATGACAGATTTTAAACATTGGGAAAAAAATGTTTGTTTGTAATAAAAGGCATAAAACACAGCAAGTAAAAGATAGGATAAAACACCAATGAAAAACAGCTACAAACTCACCTCCTCCGACAACCCAAAAGCCTGTCGGAAAAGTTGAGTCTTTAGCTGCCCCTTAAAAACCTCCACTGAGACAGAGGCTCTCCGTTTCTGGGGGAGTTCATTCCATAGGGGTCACCGCCTCAAAGGCACGGTCCCCTTTAGTTTTTAGCCTGGTTCGGGGACCCTTAAGAGGCCTTGCTCGGACAACACACTCTCACTCCATAAGCGTCCAGGAGCGACGCTTGGTCAGGGTCCCGTGGCGTGCAGTTGTGACACTCCTAGGCTCCTTCAGCTTCATAAAGGGACGCAAATAGCTTTCAACTGATTGCAACGTATTCCCATCTGCGGCGGGATTTGACGCTCATGGAAGCACGGCATTTGTTTGTGTCGGCTGCCCTTAAAGAAAATGTGAGCGTCCATTCCCATTGGATAACGGAGAATTGTACACAAGTATTCCCCTTACTGTCGATTAATTTTACAGTGATATCTGCACTACTCATCGACTAAAAAACACCAGATTATCCCCTTTGATTCGGAGAAACAAATATTTTTTTGGAGTAAAGGATGGCAGAAGACACTACACTACCCAGAATCCCCAGCTATCGTTTAGGACTACACCATGTGCTCTGTTTGACAAGCCCCGTGATTAGTTCTCAAGCTCTGTTATTGGTTGACCTCCAACTGCATTCCATTCATTCCAATGGCTGGCTTATTTTAAAGTTAGTTTGGCCATTAAAATGCGTTTTCATGTCATTTGATGCGAGAAATATGTGACCTGCTCTATCGAAATCAGTCGCATTGACCCGAAGACACATTTTGAGTTGTATACACTGCTGGAAAGAGGATATTCCTAGCTTTCTAATGATATCAGGATTGTTTTTGTACTCCAAATATTAAGCAAAATATGTCACATTATATAATGACTGTCACCGAGACATCATTTTGAGAAAAAGGCCTTCAAAGTTTTCTCTTCTCTGGAATCCATCGATCTGATTGATTATTATTAAATGATCAAAATACTATGGAGGGAAGATATTTTCGTTTGGAGGGAAACTCGTGAGTGTGTGTGTATACGTGTGCGTGTGTGTGTTTGTGTAATTTTGCGTAATTTTGCGTTTGTGTGCAGTGTTTGTTTCCCGGGGAAAACACTCACGAGAAACACCGGCTGTTGTTATGCCTGCTGTGACGTTAAGTTACTCCGTTCTCCGTTTGTAATTATGCCGAAGCTTCAAAGTTGTATTTATCATCTGAATTTGCCGAAACAAGTTTAATATTCTGAAAGCCAAGACTTTGTTTAATTTAAATCAGATGAAAACAAACTGTAACGGACCCTGCCGTGTTATCTATGATTACTATACTCTTACATTCATAATTTCAGCCGGAGGGAGGGGCGGCGGCGTGAGGAACAGCAGATTGCGAGTGAGAGGTGCCTGTCTTCGTCCCTTTACAAGCTTCAAAAATGTATTTATTATGTGATTTTGGAAATAAAAGTTTCATATTCTGAGAGCCAAGACTTTGTTTGTTTAAAATCAAACAAAACACCCGAACCCCGAAAAAATAGTTTTTTACGTAAATCCACGTTTATTTTGAAATGAGCCGTTGCGACTTCCGACTGATTTCGATAGAGCGGGTCACATATGAGTTGTTATTTCAGATGATGTGTGCAGTGGATGTACATGATCTTTAGTTTGCTAGTTATTACGAAGATTACTTCAGGAAATTGTTTCCATACAACGTTTTCATTGTTATCATGGTGGTTGCTAGGGACGCTGCTATCGATATTAATTCTGTTATGTTGTGTAACTGTTTAATGGTGTTATCTGTATTGCTACCCCCTTCCCTGTCAATGTATAGTGTTGGTCCACAGCGCAAACGTATTAGTTTAACAAAATCTGCATCTAAAATGTTGGCATAGATACGTTATTTTCCCCTGTGCAATTCCAGTCTCACATCACATCGTCATTATTCGCGTTATTAACGCGTTAACTTGACAGCCCTAGTTTTTATATAAAAAAAACTAGTTCCTTAAAGAATATTCATTAAAATTAAGCAAATGCAATTATAAAAGAAAACCCTTGATGCAAAAGCCTTTTTACATTTAACATGTTATTAATGTAGTGAAACCACCAGGGGAAGTGTTAGGAGATGTCTGAAGTATTTGTTGCACCTGACTTTATGACGGGGACGTTATTTAATATTGCATTACAGTCTGCTTACTTGTTAAAGAAAGACAACAATTGTCTCATTATTGGACAATTACAAAAGAGGCTTCGTGTTGATGGATGTTTTTATTAAAAATGACACAATTTAATATCTTTTTTTTAACCTGTTCCTATTGGTCTGATCCAGTCAGCTGACCTGCGACAGATCATGTGACCCAGCTGCTGTTTTGATAAATGCCCAAACTGTTTATGTTCGTTTGAACCTCTGTTTTGAGAATAATAAAACAAGACAATAAAAATGATAAAATAATCAAATTAATTAAAGAAAATTATGAAATACATTTTCTAATAAGAAAATAATAATACAATAAAATAACAATATATCATTCAATCACAATAACTACTTTGCTTTATGTTTTCAAAGTGGATATCTTTTTACAGAAATGTCTCCTTAACTTATGGCCCGTTTATTCACAGTATTAATGAGGATGTTGGAGAGCTGCTGATGCAACTAAATAATTCCCAATGTGGGATCAATAACGTTTAACATGTCAATACTTCATTGCTTGTTTGTTTGTTTGTTCGTTTGTTCACAGCATGTAAAGCGGCCTTTGTTCCCTTATAAATATGTAATCTATTATTAGGGCCCGAGCACGAAGCGCTAGGACCCAACGGCGTCCTAGCACGAAGTGCAAGGATACCTATTGTTATTCGTGGAATTATTAGGGCCCGAGCACGAAGCGCTAGGACCCAACGGCGTCCTAGCACGAAGTGCAAGGATACCTATTGTTATTGGTGGAATTATTATTATTATTCTTATAGTGCTGGCGTATCCTGTTTTTGAGGCCTTTAGGATGCTGACAAAGTTGTATAATTTTGCACGGACGCCAGGACCGGTAAAAAATTCAATATTCTGGAGTCAATGGGTTAAATATTCCAACCTGCTCACTAGCGCCACCTATCAAAATCCCATTTCGCACAAAATTAACTAAGTCGCACCGTAACTCAGAATCGCACCGTAACTCAGAATGACCTGAAATTTTGCACACATATCCGGGAATACCTGGTCTACAAATAAGTCCATGGGAACCCTAAGCTCCGCCTACTTTATTTTTTTTTTAATTGCCAAATTTACATAAACAGTTAAATATTCACTTAAATTTCAATTTTCAGTTTTTCAACACCAAACTTCGTATATAGCATCGGTGGAGGGTCAGACACATTCTTCTAGGAGATGAGTATGTTCAAACGATAAATATTTCCGCCATGAATTAAAACGTACTCGCAAAAAGGCGGGGCTTAGAAAGAAATGCTCATAACTCATCAACAATGTACCAAAAAACACACATTTTGGTGGTAAGGTTCAGTCTGTATTGGGGAAGACGCACAAAAAGTAATTTCCATTTTGGACTATAGGGGGCGCCAAAAACATGACAAATGTCTAACTCATGAACTGATGGACGAAATATTTTTCTTTTTTGTAGACATACTCTGGGGATGAGTATGGACTTATATTCAAAGTGTCACAACGAATGACAAATGTGGGCGTGGCCTGTACTTTTTTTTTTATGACGATGAGCTAAAATGGTTTTCGTTACGCAAAAATTCGTACACGAGTCACAGCCCACGACCTTTTCCATAATGTAAAAAAAAAACGTACATTTTCAAAAAAACTGCTCACTAGCGCCCCCTATTGTGTGGTAGTCGCATATAGTTTCTCAGAACTTCACGAATGTTGGCACAGATATTCCTCATGGAATTGCGGACATATTTGTACATACATTCCATTAGCCCCGCCCCCCAAAAAGTCGGCCATTTTGAAATATGTGCGTTTTTTATGCATTTTAAGCACATTCGTGCGGATTCCTCCTAGGGGAATGATCGGAAAAATTCCAATCCAGGACACGTTCAGCCCCTATCCAATATGATACTTAATGGAGAAGAACATTTTTGATAGCTCAATCGTGGAGGTCGTAAGCTAACAGCGAATACACCATTGTTGACGATTTACATGTCGCAAATTACTCCAAATTACTCGGATATAGTTAATCCGATATTCACGAAACGCTGTATACATATTGCTATTATGATTGCACACATATTTCAAATTGCCTTCCATTAGCCCCGCCCCCCAGAAAGTCGGCCATCTTTTAAAATGTGCGGTTTTCAGCCATTTTACGCACGTTCTTGCGAACTCCTCCTAGGGGAATGATCGGAAAAAATCCAATCCAGGACAAGTTCAGCCCATTTCCAATGTGATGCTAAATTGCGAAGGAATAGTCGATCGCTCAAACGACTACTTCGTAAGCGAACGGAGAACTTTCCATTTTTGACGATTTACATGTCCCAAATTACTCCAAATACTCGCGTATACTTTTTCCAATATTCAGGA